CTTTGTTTCCCACTAGGTGAAAATCAAAATACATTAGATGTTGATTGTATTTTCCATATTAAAATTAAATTCTTAGTCTTCCTGGTTGTTTGAGATATAGATGAAGAGTATAATTATAATCTACTTTGATTCTACTTAGTCCTTGACTTTGTAATCATTAATTCCTGTCACCTGTAAATTTTGTGCAGCCACAGGAATTGGGGAAGATTGACTTACTCTGAACATAATAAGGCATTTGAAATACACCAAGATAAAGTAGATGCAAGTGTGTTAGTATAGAATGCTTTGCCAGGTGCACTAGACCCAGAAAACCACATTCTGTCCCAGTTAATTTGTTATGTGGCATGAAGCTATGTGATGGAATGTTAATGTCAGCAACCTCTTTATTATTTACGCACCAAGGAAAAAGGAGTAGTAATTAACACTTTGACACTCCCCCATTGATGTGTAATTGACTGTTTCAAAGGAGCACTGGTTCATAAGCTATTGCATGCATTAAAATTGCGTTTTCTATATTGCAGCATTTTAAGACGGGTCAGTGACAATGCAGAAATTGCTCAATGATGCACATTTTTTTATTACTGCATTAAGGTTTTGACATATTAGTAATGAATAAATGTTTCCATAAAATTAGATTTTTTATAACTTTAAAATTGAAATATGACACAGCACACTGTGACTTCCTCTTTAAAGGTAGTATTCTAGTTTTAGGAAACAAAGCACAGCTTCCTGCGAGTCTTTAACTCATACTTCACTGACTTGATAGTTTGATTTTTTCAGAACAAGAGTCCTAAAGGCTTTAAATTTGCTTCCGTTTTAAAATGACTTTAAACATTGATTTGAAGTGTTTTTAGACATCAAGTTTCCATGTGTAACATAGATAATGGTTTTATGTAATTCATTCTAGAAATAGTCTTCATTCCTCTGATAAGTTTTAATTTCAAGAGTATTTTAAATCATATCTTAGAAATTTTAGGAGTTTCTATCATTTTATCATATTGAAAGAGAACTGTATATGTCCATAGAACTGGGAATGTTAAGGAATTTTTGAGAGAATCTTTAACACTTGGTCTCTGATAGGAAAAAAATTCGTAACATTGCTAATTTATTGTGCTAACTAGAAATCAAATTCCCTCATTGGCCTTTTGTTTCTTAAATATCTATGCAAATTAATGATCTTCTTAGAAATTTGTTTATGTAAGATGCTTTTCCCAAAAGCATTTTATTAAATGTATATATTTTTGGTTTTAGATGTATATCTAGACATTTATTACAGCTGAAAGTCTGGTTAGAAATGTCAAGATTCCACAGGTGGCAATCGGTTTGTCAAAACATTTTCTTTCATTAACACTGACAACTTGGGCCAACAATAGCATTATCTTGTGTCAACTGAATTGCCCTAACATGTCCACATGTAATCTGCTGTTATCCAGTTGCTACCTTCTTGCTTCAGAAAGTTAATCAGAATCTAATTTGCATTTGTTAATTAGGGTTAATGTACACTAATTGATTTTTTGATGCTTGTAGATTTCCATTAAACCCAGTTAGCAATACTTAGTTGTGTACCTCATTCATTTGAGTTATGATGATCATGTTTTTGTTGAATCTGTGCCAAATAGGAAGCCTGTATCATAATTACTGCTAATTAATAGATGATCATGCCCTATATTAATGGGCTGCCCCAGTCTTCCACTAATATATGAATGTTATAAATTTCAAATTTATTTATGGAGTGCTTAGATAACTTTTTTAACAATACGGACTTGAAGCTCTGAATTATTAGAGGGCACATGATTGATTATTTGCGAATTTCACATAATTTGAAAGTTCAGAGAAAAGGAACATAAAATTCTAGGTTAGTTTTAAAAACTCGTTTTCATAATTAATTTAGCATCAAAACAAGTAGATATGATAATGTGTTATAATTTGCTTCTGCTTTAGACCAGGTTATAATTTGGATATTTAGGATTTATAAATTTTTTCATTTTATAGTTCTTTATTTTATAATTGAACTTATATTTTAGATCTAGCACTGCCTACTGTGACTGTAAGTCATTTAATCTCTTTGCTCCTCAGTTTTGTTTTTTAAAGTGAAAGGATCAGAACTATTACTTAAGTTTCCTTCAATGCTTAACAAATTGTGATCTGAATAATTGTAATAGTATGTTTCATCAGAAATTATAATGCAAAATTTGAATTATTTATACAATTTTCTGCTTTTGCCTTATGAAGAACAAGTATCACTCACGGTTATTGGTACTATTTAATTTTATCTTGTACTAACCATATTGGCCTATAAATGTTAAATGGTAAACATATTTCGTCAGTTTTAATTTTTAAGTATTAAATCCAAAGTGACCTGAAGCAAAATGGAATGTTTTCATAACTAAAAATGTTTATGAAAATATTTTAAAACCTCATGTTTACCAGTACTAGTGACACAGAAAAACCGCTAAGTAGATAAGGCTTGTGTTTAAATGAAAAGCTGTTTGTGAAAATAAGCTTAGGTGATTCACTAAATAAAAAATGTTCTCATGAAATGCACTTTGTAGATTTTGTCTCCTAAAATGTATGACTATGAACAATATAAAATATACAAAACTTTTAGGGCCTAAAAATAATTTTATAGCCCATTCTTAACTTTGAACCTATCACCTATGGCACTAGTAATAAAGAAATATAGTTCTGGAAAAATAATTTTGAATACTTCATAACTTCATTGTGGGGTCAGTTTATGGTTTGTAAGTATAAGAAATTTTGGCAAAATTATCCTGTATAAGTGCTCAAACAGTAATTTCCATAACTTAACGTGAGATATAAGTATATAGGTCTTGACTAATTAGAATGGATACTCATCAGGCTTCACTGTTATGTTATTTAGGTCTATTACATGAACAGAATATGGCAAAAATGAGACTACTTACTTTTATGGGAATGGCAGTGGAAAATAAAGAAATTTCTTTTGATACAATGCAGCAAGAACTTCAGATTGGAGCTGATGATGTTGAAGCATTCGTTATTGATGGTAAGGCAGATAGAACATTTTCATTTATTTCTAGAATTTCTCTTCTACTATGTGAACATAGTAATATTATCTTGAAATTAAGCCTTATGCTAACAGAGATTCTTTTGTAGCAAATATGTTATGTTTAATTAGCAGATACATGTGTAGTAGAGTGAGAGTTGAATGGAAATTTAAATTGTGTGGTTTGTGGTGTTTGTTCTATCCCTTGAAATCAAAGGCCTTTAGGTAATATGCCATAGTGGTTATAAGGGCACAGATTTTAGCATCAGACCTGAGTTCGAGACCAGGTCTTCCTCTGTGAAACAGGAATGTTCATCTGTGATTGAGGATTAAATGAATGAATGCAGGTAAAGCCCAGTGCCTGGCACATAGTAAATGACCTGCAGATGTTAACCATTAGCAATTTATGTATAGTCTAGAAACAGGACCTTCTTCCCCAGCAATTACAAAGTGATTTAACTGTTAATCAGGGATTTTTTTTTTCCTGAGCTGTAAGTTTGAAAGTTGGGATTATATATCTTTATTATATATTTATTATATATCTTTATTATTTTACGATAATAAAATGTACAGAACCATTGACATGGTTTTTTTCTAATGATCTAAGTCTCAAACAGTCCTATAAAGAAGTAAAAACTTATTAAGAAGTCAGTTTTTTTCCTCATATGAAATAGTAGGGGTAGAACACATAGAATTCTTAGTAAAAACTATGTAATATTAATAAAGATAAGACAAATGTGTGACTTTCCTCTTAGTTGCATCATACTGCTTTGCTTATTAGAGTCCAACAGTCAGTTTGTAAAATAATGTTGGAAAACAGTGTAAAGTTTTATTGTGGCTTAGTTGGTCAGTTTTATACCTTAGCTGTTTTTCTTGGAAATTGTCCATATAACATACCATGTAAAACTTTTTTCCAGCGGTAAGAACTAAAATGGTCTACTGCAAAATTGATCAGACCCAGAGAAAAGTAGTTGTCAGGTAAGAGACATTTAATACTTTGCAGCATCTTATAGAACAATTTAATTTGACTATTTCACTTAAATGTTTAAAGAACCAAGGTGGTGTTCTTATCAGTTGACTGTAGTTAAATAGTTGCTATTTATCATAATTTTATTAAAGTTCAGACTGAATGTGATTAGCTTATTTAATGAAAGAGTCCTATTTTCCAGCACATTTCATTTAATGGCTAAGCATTGGCTAGAATACTAATGACTTTTGTATCTGCTTTATATAGTTGTTCAGGAGAATAGTTGGTTTGGGATCAGTGTGGTAAAAAGAATTTTTAAAAATGAGCTTCTAACTCTTAAATTCACTTAAAATTCTAAATTATGTCTTTTATGTATAATCTTGCTTTTAACTAGATTCAAATGTGTAGGATATTAGAATACCAGAGGATAAAAGGTTGACTAACATTTTGTTTTTAATTATTTTTCAATTTTTAGTCATAGCACACATCGGACATTTGGAAAACAGCAGTGGCAACAACTCTATGACACACTTAATGCCTGGAAACAAAACTTGAACAAAGTGAAAAACAGCCTTTTGAGTCTTTCTGATACATGAATTTTTATGCATACAATTTTGTTCTTTTTTGGGGGGAAAAAAACCCTAAATCATAGTAAAACATTATTAATTAAAATTTTGACTAGTCTGGACATTTATTGTCTCAAATTTAACTAAAATCACAAATTCTGGGGAATACAAAGTAATAGTTACAAAAGGTCACAATGTCTGTCTTGTATAAGTTGTGTTCTGTAAGGGAGGCTATTGAAGGAGCAACAAGCTCTCTAAAGACATACAGGTGGGAAGACAAAAGTTTAAAGAGTATTGGATGCTCACAGCAAACTCTGCAAATATAAGGATAGCTCTCTTAAATGACAAATTTGCAGAGCAAATAATGTTTTTAGAACTCATGATGTACAAGTAATTTCATCACATCAGAAAAGATTGGAAAAATGAAGACAACTGTAAAGCTTTAAATGTAATGTAGTCATTTCATTCTAGTAAAAACTGTACCAGTATTTCAGTTAATCTGTTGTTTTTTCCAGCATCTCTTCGGCTTTTCTTTTCTTAGGTTGGTTGTCATTTTCTAAGCCTAGTGACTTTTCAGTTTCATTTATTTGATTTGTTATGAGCCTCTGCCAGTCATCTTCACCAGGAGAAGAGGCCACCAAATCAGTAGTATCTTTATTCTTGATTGCCTGAAAATGGCTTTGTAGCAGAGTTGATTTCAGAGGCTTTGTTTTCACCTAGGAAAAACCAAACTAGTTTTACCATTAAAATTATTACACAAAAGACTTCAAAGAAAATCTGTGAATCCTCTGCAGTTACTATGTTTATGTGATAAAGCCACCATATTCTTGGCTGATTTGCAACAACCTTAGTAATTTTGGCACCAGAAAACTATACGATGTGAATTTGCAGGCTTGTGTAGTAGCTCTTCAAAATCTCTAATATATAACTGAAATAAACTGTATAAAAACTACCTTTTACTTCATATTTCCTCTCATGCCTCAGAGCACCATTGTTGAAGAAACAGGAAAGAGCAATGAGGTATTTGGAAGTTGGCCTGTTTTCAAGGCACTGCATTGGGTCATACTTTTAACACTCTGTTAAAAAATAACTCATTTTAAGGTTTTGTTTTTTTTTTTCTGATAATACTGGAAATTTAGAAAATAGAAAAAAGTATAAAGAAACTAAAAATCATTAGTAATCCATTACCCAAAGGGACCTGAACATTTGGTATTGTTTGCTGCTAGTCTTTTTTTCCCTATTTTTAGCATATTTGATCATTCTATAGAATTTTATATCTTGCCTTTTCCTCTGTGAGCAGTTTCCTAGCTCATTAAAATTTTTCATAAACAATTGTCAATGGCTGTTAAATACTCCCTTTTATGGATGTGTGATGATTTAAACTATGTCCTACTACTGAATGTTGTTTCCATTGTATCCCCATCAAACATAAGTTTGAGTTACTTTCATGAAAAAAATCTTTGTCTTCAGATAGATTCCCAGATAAAATCTTTTATTCAAAGAGAATATATTAAGTTTTAAAAATAAGTTACTGGGCCGGGCGCGGTGGCTCACGCCTGTAATCCTAGCTCTCTGGGAGGCTGAGGAGGGCGGATTGTTTGAGCTCAGGAGTTTGAAACCAGCCTGAGCAAGAGCGAGACCCCGTCTCTACTAAAAATAGAAAGAAATTTATCGGACAACTAAAA